AAAAAAAGTTGTTCAAAAAAGGAAACATTCTGCTAGGATTGAAATGTCAAGCCCTATATTTCTTTCAAATTGTACTGTGCATTTAAGTCATGATACCAGTAAACAATTTGCATTTTTTTGTATTTGCCAACAAGAGTAAAAAGAGTGACAGTCGGGTCCATCCAACTAATGTCGTATTGGCGTAGTTGAATCGTGATTCCATCATGAGTACAGTAAAAGAACATTTTGCAATTGATTTAAGTTTCCAATGAACAGTGGTGTTACATGTATATACGTTTTGATGACCTGTTCGAAATATAGTAATCTTAAAAAAAAATAAGGACGGCTATTTTCGGGTTTGAAACACACATCGGCAAAGAACACATCCGGATGACTCTGCCCGAGGAACGGACCAGCTCGTTGCCACAGAAATGCCACGGCAATGCACTTTATACTTACATGATCTACATGCATGTGTACTGCATACATACATGTATATACTGTATAGTACATGTTGCGAGTGACGCCTTACCCTAACCCTAATGTGCATGCTACATATGTACATGTATGCATGGTATGCACGTTAGGGTTAGGCGTCACTCGCAATATTTACTGTACAGTATGTATGCAGCACACATGCATCTACAGTATATAAAAGTGCCGGGTACTCCGTGAATCTAATGAACACAAGCTCCATCAGTACTCATGGGCAGGCCACGCATAGTCCAGGCTAAAGCTTTGGTATAAGCTGGAGCTTGTAAAGCCTTAAGATTTTGGTTAGCAACACTGAAAGAGGGGGGCTTACAAACAAATTATATTTGTTTTCGGTACCCCGAGAAACAAGTGTTACACTTCGGAAAAGGGGATGGTTAGAAAGTAGTGTGCTTTCAAAGTGAAGATAATATTCGATAAGCATAAGCGAATTTGTGTCCTTTTCAACCATAGAATATGGAGGAAACAGCGCTACGTTTTTACATAGAGAGAAGGGACATAGATAGGGGACCAATCTAGCCTACAGTGTCCTTTTTTCCCGTCGATAAAAAACACCCTATGCCGACAGCATGATTCACTGTGTTTAACATCATTAATTTCTACATACCCGACTAAAACTTCAGCAGTGGAGAGATTAAGTTCGAGGGCTTGAAAAAAAAATCTGGGAAAAAGGCTAGAAACCAAGTGCAGCTGAATGCAGCCTACATTGGAGTCCACGAACTGACTGTGACTGTTCCATCCAAGTTTCTTAGGTTTTTTTTTCGTTTGTTGTATTTTATTTTGTTTCTTATTGTTTTGAAGTAGAGCAACATTTTACTATACCTTGGGGAATAACAGAAGAGAAATGATGGGAAGAAATGGAAATGCCTGTGCTCTCATATTGGCTCCTCAAGCATTCCAAGAAGTTGGCAAGATTCATTCAAGCGCCAAGTACAACTGGTATCGCACAGAAAACACTTGAAATTAGCACTTCTTACCGTGAAATCATATCTGGGTTACAGGATCAATCATACTGTGATGCTCATGATCGGAACCTGGTATACTAATTTTTGATGTAAAAATTCAGAATTTACACAGATCTCGTCTACGTGAACGCTAAGCTTATTTAAGATGGTGAACAAAGTCAGGGTTATTCATGTCGAGATACACAGAGGCATGTTGTATTGTGTACATATACATGTACTAGACTACTGGCAGGCACGTGCGTTCACTGTGTTGATACAAAGAAATACATCCCGAGGAGAGGCTGTGAAATCCCTGGAAGTATTGCGAAATATAAATACAGTACATATATGTTGCGGCATGTATGTTTAAGTTAGGGCCAGGTCTGTGTCTCCATCATGCATGTTTTGCTATGTATGCCAGTATAATGTGGTGAGGCATTTGATACTATATTAATGTTCAACGCTCTCGCCGTGTTTTGACTTCGTTAATTTTTTAATTTCCCACTCAGTACAAGAACTGAATGGTGAAAAATACTTATCTTGTCCCTTTCACTTGTAACATTCACTTTTCGCGAATTCCTTTAGAGTTCACAATTACACAACATATAGCTTGGTGGAAGAGCTGTACTTAATATCAAACAACTATGTCTCATTTCCTCTGTAGGTCAAACGTAGTTACTTGTATGGTTTTCACTTGCAACTTACCCTTATTTTTGGCTCTTACCAAAAAACTTTCACCGACCCCCTACATATTTTGCCGTTTTCAACCAAAAAAATCTTTTATTTTTGTGCCACCGACCCTGTCTGGAACATAAAGAAAAAAATTATCTTAATCCCCGACCGATCATCCCGGCCTCCCCAACGAATAAAAAATACAAGAACCATAGAAGGAGCCGTGCTCGCCACATCGGGGAAGGGCAAGGGCACCGCTTACCCCGTCCCTTACGTACAAAAATCAAATGTAAGAAGGCAATGAAAATGAAAGGGAATGAAATGCATTAATTTGCTGAGGAAACCCACCCCAGCTGTAAACTGTTCATCAATTCTCTTTATTCAGTGTTCAACTTTACCATTGGACTATAAACTTGTGTACATTAATCTGGGCTGTTGTCATTTTAGTGTAAAACAAATTTCATGAAATTTGTGTTTACTTCTGCAACTTTTTTCTCCGATTTAGTTGTTTGTACAGGAAATGAGGGGAATTTCATTCTGTTTTTTGTAACACGAAGTAATATAAACTGTTTACTTTTTGCCCTAAAAATAAACTCTATCAACCCATTCTATTTATTTCAAATCCACGAAAACAAGGTTCCCGGAGAGAGATAAACAGCCGTAGAGTTTCTTTTTAATAGTAAATGAAACACTTGTGTGGATTAAAATGTTTGGGAAAGAAACATTCTCTGAACCAGCAAAAGTTTCTAGTGTTATCCTTAGTCTCAGGGAAAATTTCGAGCACAAATGTGAAGGCAATGCTCTTGTTTTACGGAGCCCAGTGGTTGAAAATTTTTGTAAAAAAATTAACAATAAATTCAAAATCACTGGAAACAGAAAAACAACAGGCCGTCTATGAGGATGAAAAATTTTACAAAATGAAATTTTGAGATTTAAAATAAGTAAATATGTTTCCCAAATTTCCTAAAGCAATAAAAAAAATTCTCACTTGAATTTCTGTTCAATAGAGAATCATTTAATGTTTGATCAGTTCTATCTGTTAATTGTAAAAAAAGATTTGATCTTTCTGCAATAATCACACTTTCAACAGAAATTGAGGTTCAAGATTTGATTTTGGGAGCGAATTCATCGATATGGCATGTTATTTTTCGATTGAAAATGCATTCAAACTTTGTGTGAAAGCTTAAAATGTCATTGCGAAGAGGTTGACAAATCTTTCACACTAGTTTTATTGGAGGGACGGGAAGGTGGACAGGAGTTTCTTCATTCTACAAGTGGTTTTAATCGTCCCGTGAGAGTCGTCAAAGCATGGGTTTCATGACCGAAAAGTTCGCCGACTGCCGAAGAACAGCATGTCATTTTTTTTGCATTTTTTAATGGCAGGCCTACTCTTTTAAAATATCAACAATACTTATTACACCGAATCTTCCAGTTCTGGGCAAATCTTCCAATTCTGGGCATTATCGTGTTGGTGACTTGTGAAGGTGTTTCCATTGGTGAATTATGTCAAGGTCTAAGCATGGAGGTAGGCTTTATGTGTGTTCCAACGTTGGGCATCGTTTGCGAATTTCACCTTATGTTCGCGCATCACCCGGAGTTTTGAAAACAGTGCTTCGCATTTCCCCCTTACTGCGGTGGCCGAGGCTTTGTGGCGTTTACCTTCGCGAAAAAAAGAACTACCCGGACAAGTGTTACTTTTGAAATTACACCCAATTCGCGAAGAATTCTTCGCAGTAAATTGATCGCAAAAAGGTCCTATATTTCTGAGCAGTAGTGTCTCTGCATTAATGCAATCTCTCCATTGATGTTTTTTGCTTGTGGAAGCTGTCAGAATGATAAGTACAGGTACAATGTTTCAAGAAAAAATAGTGAAAAAATTTGACATAGAAAAATGGTCAGTTCTGACATACATGTACAATGTATCTCTGCTTCTACGTGCATGATGAAGAAATGTGTGCAAACCGGTACAAGTACATGCAGTACTGTGCATGTACCGGTACATACATGTACATGTACATGTATGTTAACTCATGGAAAATGTTTTAAAATGTATACCGGTACATTTACAATGTACAGTATATGTGCTGGCCTGTTGGTATACACATTTCTTTAATCTCAACTTACCACATATAATGAATGAAGCAGCCAAAATTCCAGCCTGTACTGACTTAGTCAATTCGAGCACAGTAAGAAAGGATAGTGGAGCAACTCCTGAACCAAGTAGGGCACAGAACTACATGTACGTGTAAATAAGAAAACAGAAAAATTAATATATGTGTAGAAATAGCCCGTGAGAAAAAAAATCATATGAATAGTCTGTACCAGTATCATTCCAATGGAATCCAATAATATAATGCATAAAATACCACAATTTAGTATGTGGGTAGTGACAGACTTTCAAGGGATGCTTTACAGAAATCCCTGAAATCACACATACATGTCCATATGCATGCACTTCCTTGTATCCGCTTTCCTGATACTGTACATGTACATGTACATACCGGTATATGATGTACCGTAATATACGTACATACATTGTACATGTATGCGTATATGTAGCAGTACAATGTACCGGTACATGTACATGCGGGTATGCATTGAGGGTTACTTACATGTACGAATTTAACCTACATTGTATAGCCTACATACATGTACATGTAGGTGTCAACTTGGATGAGAAAGAAGGACTGCTTCCTGAATGAGAGCGTGTGGTTTTTCCACATAAACTACATGTACCTTACATACATGTGCAGTACATATACATAATACACGTCAGAAGTAAGATCTTTGGGATCTGCATGCTTTTCAGTAGGTACCAGCGTAACTCAGGGAACATTTTGTTACTTCATGAACTTGTATACAAAATGTGTGTTTGTTCAATGCATATTGTAGGCTACCATACTGTACATGTACATCCATGGACGTTTTACGCAGCCAATGCAGTGTTTGCACAGTAATACATTTCTACGTGCCAAATCAAATGAAGAATGCTCTCTGGTGAATCAAAAAGGCAAATTGGGAAGAAAACAGTGACTTTAAGTACAGAAGTAACAATGGCTAAACTGTTAAGATTTATAAGCAAGTCCCTATCCCCTAATTTAAGCAACAGAAACTTACCGGTACATTGTACCCTCACACTAGGCTTGTGACTCGCGTAAATTCAGCAAATTGGAGTCCCAGCACTAAGCAAGTTAGTTTTAAAAATGTTGCCAAGATTGTTTGATGTTGAGTGGGGTTCATTAAATGCTCTCTTAGTTCATAAAGAGGTGCATGGAAATTGTGAACGTGTTCGAAATTTCTGGTGACAGTCGCCATTCCAGCATTCTCCCCAGAGTACGTGTCTAAAAAAATGCCAAATAGTCTCAAATCCTTTGCAAAGGTTGCATGATGGGTGCCAAACCAACTCATAGTCACCAGCTTTCGCCAATAGTGAAGTCCCCAGCTTTCGCCAACTAAAAAAATGCTTGAACACTAGGCTGGTCCTGGAAGGCCTTGGGCTGGTCAGGGAAGACCCAGGCCTGGAGTTTGGGCTGGTCTTGAAAGGCCATCCCATGATCCTGCACCAGAGACCGGGTGCCGACTGAAGCTGACCTTGGTTTCACTACCAGAGCTTTTTATATGGTATGGTAACTACATGTACATGTACATACATATACAATGCACCGGTTTTTGATTTGTGACTGGATATGGACTTCTAAAAGATGACGTGTCTTTGACTTGTTACCAATGAAAATCTGAACACTATTCAATCGACAACCCATTAAAGTTTTAATTAGGCCTATCAACTTACGCCTTGCATAATAGTATATTGTGATAATGTCTAGGGCTATGCCGAATATCTAAATATTTGATTGATTATCACATATTTAAATATTTTCCGAATTTGAATATTTAAGTGCCAAATTCATGAAAAGGAAGGGAGGATTTTGTTTTGTTTTAAGTGAGAAAAACTGCACTATGGAGGCTTGTTTCAAGCAACTAGAAACCTTAAAACAACTCAAAAAGTAAATTATTCATTAAAGAATTGAAAGGAATAGAAATTTTCTACAGGGCAAGAAGCAGCTACGAGTATATTGTTCGTCTTGCTGAATCGTGGCTGGAGGTACTGTACATGTACTCCTTGATGAGACAAGCTACTTGTATTGTAGTGAATATTACGTACAATTGTGTGCATTATTGCAACTGATTTTGTATATGGTTTAACCATCAATAACCTGCGAGTCAGTAACACCAAATATTTAAATATTCGATCAAACTGAAGGTTGAGTATTTGAATAGTGAATTATTCAAACTGACTCAGCCTTAATAATGTCAGGCAACTTCATTCAGCTAGCGACTTCTACTTTGATCTTGTCTGCCCAAGGCCACGTCCAGTTCATTTGGCTGTGGCTTGAAATCAAAAATTGCGAGACCTGATTTGTACTTGGTCAAAAAGACTTGTGACTTGCTTGTTTTTGGACCAAATTGACTTACAACTTGACTTGTGACTGGACCAAATGACTTGTGACTGGACCAAATGACTTGTGACTTGGCTTAGACTTTCAAAAATGGACTTGTGACTTGACTTGGACTTGCAAAAATTGACTTGCCACCACCTCTGATTAGTAGCTACGAAATATGATTGCAAGATTCTCCAAAGTTGCATTCCTAAAACAAGAATTAACTGAGGGCATCAAACCGTCTGAAAACCACTGTGTGAACATTGTGAGGAGGTCTGACAACTGTTTGTGGCTTTGCAACACAAAATCCAAATTTGCAACAAAAAATTGACCACAAGCTGACCACCTTAAAATCTATCGCGGTACGCACCTTTCGGGCAACTGACAAAGACATTAATGACATGATGTTTACCACAAAGCATTGTGGGCAAAAAGTGGGAATAGAAATCAAAGTTGGAAGACACGATCATTGGTCATGCAAACCTTTGCGCAACTTTAGACAGAGTAAACACGATCCATTTTGGAAAATACATGTACACGTATATGTAGGCCTTCTCAATCACAGGATCTTTTGGATCTGATGTTCTAGCAAAAGCGTGTACTGTCGTCCTCACCATGCCCACCTTTCACCCACAATACACCACGGTAAATGTTGCGTTACCTCATTATGTTTTAGGTCTATTCCAAACATGTAGATCACAGCTTTTCTCTGGCAAAAGTGCCCCGAACCAACAGCCTGGCACAGTTCTACGTGTACAGGGACTATCTTAAGAAACCTTTGTCTGTCCCCCAAAACCAAAGGAAAGGGCAATAGCAAAGCGTAAAAGGTGACATCATGTGCAAAGAGTCTAGACCCCAAACAAAATTAGCTGCAGAACCACACCTGCAAATTGAGATTGCCAAACTCCCCAAAACTGTGAACTCTAATGTGAATTAAGCCACCATAAAAAAATTTGAAATAAATAAAAAAAACTCTGAAAGCAAAGCCACATGAATCCAAATACCCTGGAAAACACAGTATATGATGGAAAACAAGGAGAGATTTGACAATGGATGCATACAGGTACCCCTGGTACCAGTAATGTAGTAGGGCATTCTTGTACAAATATCTTTATCCAGTAATGTCATAAACTACTGCCAGTAATTAGCTAAAGGTACGTGTATGTATTATCCAATGAGTAAATGCATCACATTAATGGATAAGGCAAAGGCATGTACACTATATGTTAAGACATGTACATGTACGTGTACAGTACAACAGAACATACATACTTACAGCTCTCATTCCAATATATTTGGTATCATTGTAATTGTCCCCTGGCTTGTCAAAGGCAAATGTCCCATCATATCCAGTAAGCAGTCCGGATAGACCAATCAGCATCTGCCCAAGCAAAAAAGTCCACAAATATTATACAGTACATGTACTTGTACACGTACAGGTACATGTACATGTCTTAAAATACATGTACACTGGTGCTATTACCTGTTTGTCTGCTTTTAAGACTACTGTGGTAGGAATCTCCCTAGGCCAAACTTAAGTTTGTTGAGATCAGCGGTAAAACCTGTGGGAGTACACGTACATGTATATGTATAGAACATAAATCCAACCTTTCCACAGACCACAGATCACTAAGAGTGATCTTAAGACAAGGGAAAAGGTCTGTTTTGAAATGTACCGTCCTTTATGATGATTGTGATTACTCTCTGTGAAAAACACATTTGCATTCGCAAGAAATACACCTTGGCAACAGGATTGTTGGCACAACAAATGTGATAAATTATTCAACAATCAAGAAATATACAATGATTATTGGGTCTGCTTTATTACCAGGGTCCTTTCATACAATGTGATAAAAGCTACCACAACATGACCACATTCCCACTTGAATTGGGAAAAGGTGGACCATAACAAAACCCCAAGTCGCATTCTCACGCTTGATCCACCTTTTCACACAAAAAAGTCGAGCCCGAAAGGTCACAGAGTTCGGTATTATGCATGAGCTAGCTTGCTGAGCGTGCACTCTGTGGCAGCGTTGCAAGCTGGGACGGATCAAATTTCATGCGTGTGACCCTGTGACCTTGCAGTGTTTGGATGTTCCAAGCTTTTGACATGCACAGGGAAATCCAAAGGTTTCTGATAGGGGAATTCTACTGACGTGACGACCTTGAATCGGATTGAATGTTCAGCCTAGTATGTTGTCTCTTCAAATTTTGCTTCCGTTTTCAATACTCTATCATGTCTATTACACACTGCGGGCTATACACTAACATGGAATTTTGTTTTGATGGAAAGCAAGTAAAATTGCACAAATGAAAAAAGTTTAAAAATGGACGATTGCGCAATGAAAATTGTGGAAGAGCCAGGTACATGTACACATTGCGGCATGCATGCACTGCGCGCAAATACGTGGTGACACATATTGCAAGCCCGTAGTTCAGCGGTTCTTTATTGTGCATACTGTGAATGTTATAATTTTCACATGAACTACATGCCAAAAAACGTATTTCTCTGTTCATCAGACTGTAAAAGTTTTGCGCTACTCGTGCACGGACGGATTTGACAGGTCAAATTGCCGGATCAGATCAATCTTTTGTATTCCCATCTGATCATGATCTGCCAATTGCAGGATTTGATCCACCAATAAGGGGATCTGTATCCTACTCCAGAGGAGAATCACGAAAGGTGGATCTGATACTGATCCACCTTATAACGGTTAGCGTTCCCACTACACACAACTGCCAGATCTGATCCATCAATTACGGGATCTGATCCGGCAATTTGGTAGAAGGTGGATCAGATCCCCCAATTGGTGTATCAACATGATCAAATGGGAATGTGTTGAAATGTAAGCAATGCACCACAATGTAAGCAGTGCACCACAATGTCAGCAGTGCACTTTGCACCACAATGTCAGCAGTGCACTGTGCACCACAATGTAAGCAGTGCACCGCAATGTAAGCAGCGCACCACAATGTAGGCAATGCACCACAATGTAAGCAGTGCACTGCTATGTAAGCAGTACACTACAATGTAAGCAGTGCACTGTGCACCACAATGTAAGCAGTGCACTGTACACCACAATGTAAGCAATGCACCACAATGTAAGCAGTGCACCACAATGTAAGCAATGCACCACAATGTAAGCAATGCACCACAATGTAAGCAGTGCACCACAATGTAAGCAGTGCACCACGATGTAAGCAGTGCACTGTGCACCACAATGTAAGCAATGCACCACAATGTACATGTACATGTAAGCAATGCACCACAATGTAAGCAGTGCACCGCAATGTAAGTAGTGCACCGCAATGTAGGCAATGCACCACAATGTAAGCAGTGCACCACAATGTAAGCAGTGCACCACAATGTAGGCAATGCACCACAATGTACTGTACATGTAAACAGTGCACCACAATGTAAGCAGTGCACCACAATGTAAGCAGTGCACCACAATGTAAGCAATGCACTGCACCACAATGTAAGCAATGCACTGTGCACCACAATGTAAGCAATGCACCACAATGTAAGCAGTGCACCACAATGTAAATGTAAATAGTGCGCTTCAAAGTCAGCAATGAGCTACCATGTCAGCAACACGCAAGAGTGCATGCCACTGGGCCTGTTAGTTTCACACGGACCTACATGTAGTTCTTGATTAGTGATCCTAATGCTAGCTTGCACCATCCATTAGGTGGGTTTTGGTGACAGTAAACCAACAACGGGTCACTGATCGTGATCTAGATCCGTGTGTAGCAAACACGACCACAGTGTGAATCATGTACTCCTGCATCAGCAATGCTCATACACAATCCATCACGTCCGTACCAGCAGCACCTGATTATGTTCCAACCATGCAAGCTATAGCATCAGCATCGCACAGAACACAGCTTTGTACAGCCAGTGCATCAGCATTGCACAGTGCAACTTGAGTACAGCTGTGGTTCATACGGTACATTCAGCCCAAGTAAGCACGGATTACTTACAGTACAGACAACACAGTACCTTTCGCAACGATGTCCAGAGCTTGACTCCGGAGCACCACGTGACTATGTACCTTACTTGCACACATCGTACACGTACATGTACAGTAGGTACTTATGCACGTTCGCAATTCATTAGGACATACCTTTCCCAGTGGAGGATGTACATCAAAGAAGAATGTCCTGTTCATGTAATAACTCCCCATTTTCCCGAAGTGCGTCTCATCCCAACTAGGGAAAATACAAAATAGACATAGACCTCAATTCATGTTGAATACTTTATAAAGTGCAGTCAGTGACAAAGGTGTGTCATGCACACATGCTGGGAGTAAGCCTCGCTCACTCGTCACAATTTTCTTCCTTTTTCCCTGTCTTCATTTGCTTTATTTTCTCAATCAGATCGCATGTTTACTTTCTATCGGCCTACGCTCTACAAGCATAATATCCCTGGACTCTGGGATTTTTTTTCTGAAGGGAGATATTATTTCCATTCGAAAAAAAATCCTGAGTCCTTTATTTCAAATAAAGTCTGAGATCAATTTGTTGTAGACTGGTCTGGTTCTTGTTTCCAATGTACCTGAGTGGTGCAAGAAAGTACAGAGAAAACCTATGGGTACATGTACATGTATTTGTAACATGTCTAAACTCTTGAACATAATAAGGCCTTGAGAATGAACATCTCCGTCCGGACAGGTTTGAAAACCCATGAGGCTTTTTTATGTTGGTGTAGCGGTACATACCGAACATCGATAGCGAGAACATGTATGTGTCCATGCAAAGGTAACCAACCTTGAAGAAAGACTAGCTCTCAGTCCATCTTGCATCTCGTCTTTTGTATGAGGGCACACTACATGTATGATATGATTTACTTTGCAGCCATTTTTTAACTATTCCTGACAGGAAAAACAACAATTCTTCTGAAATAATAACTTTTGGGAAAATAATGAAATTTTTTTGGCAGCTGTTTCAGCACCCCGTTCCTATTATAAGGGAACAAATTCTACTTTTTCGAAACAACTTATCTACATGTAAACACGTTGTTGGTAATGTCCTCTTTCTTATCAGAAAGAAAAGAGAACAGAGCTTTTGGTTTGAGAGGAAAATTTTGGGTAAAACGGCAGCATACATGTACATGACCGCCCCAAAGAGCTGTGAACAACAAATGAGTGAATGTAGTCTGGTTCTCTGACCTGGGCAGAGATTTGTTTTGATGAATCCAAAATGCCTGAGTCAGGAAACCAAACAGAAAACAAAATGGCGTGATTCAACTGAATAGTTGTCTTTTGCCAAACTCGGGTAAGAAATTTGAAGTTTTCTTGCTTAAATGTTGTCGAAATTTACCTGAACTTGGCCAATCAGGACTGAGTAATGGTTCCTTAAGGTCAAAATGTTAGTTTGAGAAAGTGGACTTTGTTTCCTTTTTATAGGAACAGGGATGAGAGAGGGCACTCTCTGAGAGAGGGAGGTTGTAAATGTTATCGCTCCGAATGCAATCTGGAGTAATCAGGGGAATCCAATCCACACCAAAGTTCCAAAGAACCCACAATCTTTCCAATTTAAATAATCACCAATAGCTTCAGTTAACAAATTTAAGAGATACAGGTAATGCCCACACTCCAGCCTTATTGTGTATGTTAACCTTTCTCTATAGAAAATGACAAAGGTTGTTATCCCTCGTGTTTTCAAGATGGATGCTTTGTAAATCTACATTTTCAACAAGGACTTGAATTTTCTCTTCACCTTTCAATAAGGAATTAACTTGATGTATTTTGGCTGCATTTATAAGTCTAGGTTTTGCCCACTCTTTTTTATAAAGTGTTGGATTATAGCTTAATTCACACATCTTCTAGTTGTCCCAAGATCATAGCGTTCCAGAGGTGACAAATCTGTCAGAATGGCTTCTCCCCGAGCACATATATAATCTTGTTTGAAGAGTTGGCCCGTAAATTTTCTTGTATTGCTAATATTTGCAGCGCTATAAACAATTTTAGGAGAGAATGTGCGCTTTATAGAAATTCTTATATGTTATTTTTTAACTCCAAAATCGGCATTGTAATTTGAATCCAAAGTTGCTTATTCTCCAAGTGAAATAGCAATCTGTAGTGTTGGGGCATTTCGGAATGATTCATATATAAGAACATGTATTAGTATCAGTGAAGCTCATTTTGAGTGGTTCGTAAAGTGGTTCTAAATGTGCTAACCATACTTTCACGAGGTTGATATACATGTAGCATTCCTCAATTTCATACAGTCCTGTGGTAGTTTTAGTCCAGAAGGTTTCGCTGCAATGACACACGTATAATAATGAATCCAAGGCGCAAGATGAAGAGAATATATATCCAGCACTGAGTGTCGACTGCACAAATACTCTCATGAAGTTGATATAGCATTCCTCAATTTCACAGAGTCCTGTGGTGGTTAGACAGATAGGTTTGGCTGCAATGGCACACGTGTAACAATGACTCCGAGGCGCAAAAGGAAAAGAAGCAAGTACTGTATGTATCCAGCACTGACGGTATTGACTGCACCAATACTGTCGATGTTTGACTTAGTCCAAACCCGTGCTTGTTAGTGAATGGAGCAAATGTGTGCTCTCAAGTGTAGGGTAACAGCAAGAGCATCATAGACCCGAGACTCCATGTTCATATAACAATGGAAAATAGTTTAAGTTAGAAAATAGACTCGGAACTGTAGATTTGTGCAAGAATGGGCTCGGAAATCAGTTCCAAAGGTCTGTATCACTACCATCATTATTCAACAACTTCACTACCGGTATCTGCAGATAGTCACTCAACACTCACTCTACGTACCAAGCTGAACCTTAGAGTGATGACCCTTAACGGCTGTAGTGTGTTATCCAAACAAATCTGAACCTGCAGCAGTCAGGGAGTACATACATGTAAAGCCTGATGAGGTCTGTGGAACGGAATCTTGGCTTTAATAATGATATTAAACTGGCTGCAACCCACTACAAGGCCATATCAAATCTAGTGGAGTCTTCCACGATAATTACATGTACATTGTATATATATATAGGAATGACCTAGTGCCTTGGGAGGAGATGCCTTCATTCTTGTCCATCTCCATTGAACAACCTGAACTTGTCACCGAGTGCGAATTAGAACGGGTCCAGATTAAATTCCCAAACACAAAAGATCTGCTGATTGGGTGTTTTTTCATGCCGTACTGGAATCTCAATGACTTGAGTGAGCTCAGTAACTCCTAAAACAACTGATAAAGGATGGTCTCTTAGAGAAACACATAAACCTTGCAGGAGATTTTAACTGCCCCAACATCGATTGGGAAAATTTCTCTGTAAACCCCAGAAGTACCGGTGCACTTTTTAAACTTTACAAATTGACCAAGCATTTCTCGATAAGTGAGGGCGCTTTTCCTTTGATGTAAATCAAGGAAGACATGGTTCAGTTTGCATGCTTTCATGTTCAAATTGTGAACTCCAAATTTGCTATCTGAAAACATTTATGTGAAAAGGTTGCTTGCTTGCCTATTGCCATATACTTACACAACAATAAATTGCCAAAGGAAATGAAATTTACGATATCAGTGTAAAAAAAATCTAGAAATTTTCTGTGCACAAATCAGTGCCTTGGATGACATCATAGTTTTGCTCATGAATATGTAAATATACATGTACATTAGCATGAAAACTACAACAGCTCCAAAATATGGGTTAAAATTACAGAACAAAAATTTAAAATCAGGAAAATGGAAACCCAGAGGTGCAATTTCAAGGGTTTTAGTAAAATTTAGTAAAATATTTCTGTTTCATAGTCTCTTCAAGTATGCAAGAGAATGGCTCCGACATGTACGCCAGATGTGGGATAAGTTCAAATCAGCTCTTCTACAGGCGGTCAACAAACACATCCCCAATAAGATGAGGAAAAGAAAGAGTTGCCTACCTTGGTTCGACAAAACCATCAAGTGGATGATCAAAAGAAAAAGGAGGCTTTACAACCGTGCCGAGAAACATAATAAATAAACATACATGTATCATCATTTCCAGAAAGAATGTAAGAAACAAATCAGAAGGGCAGAATGGAATTACAAGTATATAAAGTTATCCAAGAAGGCCTCAATAACAATACCAAGCCATTTTGGAGGTATATTAAAACGAGGTGACAGGACAATGTAGGTTTTGCAGCCTAATTGACGATAGTACTGTACATCCAAAGCTACATTTTAGTCAACTACATTCAAATCAGTTTTCTTTCACGATGCCCATGATGAGGATCTCCCCAAATTGTATAAATTCTTTGATCAACAAATTGACTGCATTGTCATTCACCCAGCCGGGGTGGCAAAACTTCTTGGAAAACTAAATATCAGTAAGGCCTGGGAACCTGACAATATTCCTAACATTGTCTTGAAAACTGTGCAGGCATCATCGCTCCGGTCCTATCTGTCATTTACCAGAAATTACTCGACTCAGGTGACTTACATGTACATGTACCATCAAACTGGCTCAATGCCAACATATCATGTGTGTTTTAAACCCTTGGCGCCGGGAGGCACCTAGACACGCCGTAAAAATTGAGATGCTCAGCCCGCTTTTCAGCTATTATTCTTGACCCATGCTCAAGCAAACACGGTGAAAGAAGGCAGACCCTGGCTCTTGTATAGTAATTGGTCTTTGTATGTAGCCCAGTAATGAAAGGACCGAATTTGCATCATAATCACCAGCTTCACAATAGTCCCCACTTTGAAAAGAGGCAACAGGAAGGTGGAAGTGTGAGTAGAGCCGCATGCCACCGCACAATCAGCCTTTTCACCATGTAATTCAAAGCGTACAGAGCACGCAGGGCCACAAACCGAGAATTTGCGGTTTGGCAGGTGGCCTTTGTGGCCAAGTTAAGCTGGAATTCTTGGAGTCAGCTTTCGGGAAGTAATTCCCGTCATCAAGGGGTTCAAGGGCAATAAACATCTTGCTGAAAACTACAGATCCATCTCGTTAACCTCTGTAATAAGCAAACAGCTTGAGCATATCATTTATGGGCAAATCATGACACATCTTGAAAAGCACAACATACATGTACATGTGCTAACACACCTTAACCACAGATTCTGAAGTGGCTTCTCCTGTGAAACCCAGCTCATTGTCACAGATGATGACCTCTTGAAATCATTTGATATCAAAAAGCAAGATGGCATAGCCGTCCTGAATTTTTCGAAAGCATTTAACAACATACCACATAGAAAACCTCTCCACAAACTCCATAGTTATGGCATCAGGGTCACACTGCACCAGTGGCTAACCTGCCTCCTCACAGAGTGCAAACTGCAAGTCGTACTGGAGGGTGTAGCATCACAGCAAGTACCTGTTGACTCTGGGGTCCCTCAAGGAACAGTGTTGGGGCCCTCGCTCTTTCTGTGTCACATAAACGACCTCCAAGGCAGTGCCACATCCCAAGTTTGTCTCATTGCAGATGGCAGCCTCTTGTACCACCAAATTAACTCAAGCAATGACCACATCATCCTGCAGCAAGACTTAGAAAACCTAGGCTCACCAAAGAGGAATGTGATTCAACTCAAAAAAATGCAGCATACTGAGTATCCGAAAGAAACACATTTTTATAGCCTCAACAACACTATTACACAACAAGTGTCTAATGTCCGCTACCTGGGCATTCACATCTTAGATGATCTTAAATGGAATTTACATGCATCCAACATCACTAAGAGGGCCAACGCCACGCTAGGATTCCTAAGGTGGAATCTAAAAAACTACCCTCAAATTTGCAAATGGTCAGCCTACAAGGCCTTGGTGTTGTCAACCCTGAAATATGGGGCAGTTATCTGGGACCCACACTGCAGTAAATATCAACTGCCTCAAGTGCACTCAGCACCGGGCTACCCGCTTCATCACCAATGACTACCGATCACGGCAAACAGGATTGGTCACTGAGATGCTACAAACCCTGAAGTTATCAACCCTCTAAGAGAGAAGTAAACAACTACATGTACATGTGCTAATACTTCTATACAAGGTGGTTGTGGGGCTGGTGCCAGCAATACCCTCTGATTCCTAATTGCAACAAAAAATCAGGCAGAAGAATTAGACCAAGCAAGTCAGACAATTCACTCTCACTAAATGCATTACATGTAGTTACAATGTAGTTCCATTGCTGCAAACTCCAAGTGCTTTGAAGTATACCGATGCAACACATATCAACTTAAAAACCTTAAAGTTCTTCAAAAGATCAATTACTGACTGGAACCACCTCAACGACATCTTTGTTCAAGTGGACTCGGCTGAGAATTTTAAAAACAGCCTCAGTCACAGGCCCCACTCTACGTAGCAACATCCAACACCCACCCTCTCTCTCTAAAGCCAGAATTGGTGTCTGCAGCGTACGTGTATTGTCACAGTTACAGGGTGCTATTGCTAATGGTAATTTGGGGGGTTCATTACCCAGGCATTCAACTCTTCAATTTGAAAAGAAGAGGAAAATATTCTTGCATACAAAACTGCATGCGCGCAGTGCGAATCCAATTCGGTGTGGGGTCTGGGCCCGCCTTGGGGCTCCGGAAAATTTTGAATTTGACACGCTCTGTGGTGCATTCTATGAGTTTTTGGCCCCAGTTGAAGTGAAATTTCAGTGAAAGAGCTTTTTATGGCATACATGTACATGTACTTTAGATTAAAAATACACAAAATGCTTCTTATTTGTGATTCTTTTTGAACTTTTTATTATGAGAGGTACATGTACATGTACATTCTGTGAAATAAACCTGTGACATAAAATTGATATTCCCACCTGTCTAATGGATCTTTTCACCCTTTCCATGTGATTGAATCTGGCTCTCTTGGAGACCTTCGCTGCAACCTCTAGTGCTCTTTTTTTGGATGTTGGGGTCTTGGAATGTTGAAGTGGGTGCTGTGCCGTGGCTCTTTGATCTGCAAGATGTCTATGGGATTCTGCTCTTGCTTTCCTCATATTGGCAACAAGAGATTTGTTCACTGATTCATGAAGAAAGCCACTCTTCAAAAACTGTGCAAGAAATGGTTTGTGGCTACCTAAAATGGAGTATTTGATTGTTTGCACTGCACTGATGTTTCCAATTGCAGCCTTGAAGACTTCGCTTGCATGACATTGCTCATCACACTGAAGGACCTTTCCACCTGTGGGCCACTAAAGATACTCAGTGCAGCCATGACTCCCACTTCCAAGCACATGACTCCCACTTCCAAGCATTTTTTATGCCTTTTATCAATGGTTTGGATATCCTGTCTATCACGTTCGATGATATCCTTCCTTTTGGAAGTCATTTTGAGTTTTGACGTGTTGGTGATCAACAATCACGATGCACATTGACAACAGCGTTTTTTCAATGTTTACGGCCGGCTGTGGAAGCGGTATAATATCCATGTAATGGCTTGTCGTCCACAGAAGGCGCTTGCACGTACATTGCTGAGTCTGTGTCCTGCACTTTTTAGTGCATTTTATGCATGCACAAAACAAGGGGCCAGACAAGGTTTTTGTACTCATTAATGTGTATCGAAAAGTGGAACACTGTGCACCCTACGCTGGCGCGGCCAGTGCCACAGTGCAAACAGAAAAAAGCCCAAAACGCGGATATTATTTTTGCGCGGACGTAATATTAAAAAACGCAGAAATCCGCGGATCTGCGGAAAAGTTGCATGCGGATGCCTGATTACCATTAACACCCTGTTCCTATAATAAGAAAAAAAAAGTCCACTTCCTCAAACTAACATTTTGACCTTAAGGAACTAGTCTTACTCAATCAAGACAGGCCTAGTTTACAGGCCTATATTTAAGCAAAAAAAGTCAAATTTCTTACCCGAGTTTGGTAAAAGACAACCACTCAGTCAAATCGCGCCATTTTGTGCTTTGTCTGGTTACCTGACTCAGGCATTTTGGATTCTTCAAAACAAATCTCCATCCAGGTCAAGGAACCAAACTATGTTCGCTTATTTGTCGTTCACAGCTCTTCAGGGCGGTCATGAACCCTGCTCTTTTACCCTAACATTTCCCTCAAAAACCAAATGCCCTGTTCTCTTTTCTTTCTGATATGAAGAAGGACATCACCAACAACTTGTTTAAAATAAGCTGTTTCAAGAAAGTAGAACTTGTTCCCTTATAATAGGAACAGTGAGCTAAAGGTAATGAACCCCCCCTTTCAGGACCCCCAGTTTTTAGTTACTTTTTCAAAAAAGGATCGGCTCTGAAAAAAATTTTCACGCCGCGAGCTAGTAGCATGGACGAGTTGCCTGGTAAACGTCCAAGTTGTCCTACCACCAGGGTCCATGCCCACCACTGTCCACCGGTCGACATCTACATTGCATTGTGACTAACTTCCAGGGTATGAAATTTTTTTTCCATTTTTTTCTCACATTTTTACCTGATGAAGACAGCTCAAAATGTTGTTCACAAATGCCTTGTATCCTGAGTTCCATAAATGCTGTGTTGAAATTACTAAATATGCCCACGAACAACATATTTTGCAGGAAATTCTGCGAAACTCCACGCTTTCTGTCGCGATTTGTTAACGATCTACATGTACATGTACTGTACATATACGTTCGTCTAGCACAGGTACTCGCATGTGTGCGAAATGCATAGTAACTGAATGCCCTTACGCATGCATGGAAGAGCCGTGGGCGTGGTAAAGTTCCAAAGATACGGCTAGGTCTATTGTCCGTGCGTCTCCACGTATTTGTAATGGAGTGAAGACCTAGACCTACATGTAGCTCTAGATGACATGCATAACTGACAGAACGTGGGCCGAGCTTGGAGGCCATTTCGCAAATGCATACTGCTGCACGAACGTAGGTCGTTAATAAATCATGACGGAAAGTGTGGAGTTTTGCGAAATTTCCTGCATTAATGGAATTCAGGATTACGCACTTGTGAACGTCATTTTGAGCTGTCTTCGTCAGGAAAAATGTGAGGAAAAACTGTTGAAAAAAATTTCGCATAGTAGGACGACCCTGGACATTAGTCGCAATGCAATGTAGACATCGTCCAACCTGGGCTAGGCCTACATGTACTTTAGCCTTAATAGTCAGATAGTACAATTAGTATAGCAGGCTTAACTGAACTGTATCCTGTGCAAGTCAGCTGTTCCGAGTGGAGTTAGCTAGTAAACGGTCGAACTATCCAACATCCCCAAGGCAAGTTGTACTAGAAGTACATACCAAACATGTTCAGGTTCCCCCAGTTTGTAGAATCTTGTAGCCACAGATGCAAGTATCACAGCAAGAAATGAGAGTCGCTTAACATCGGTCATGCCGGTAAACGCACCCATGTCCATCTTGGCCATAACCCATAGACCGACAGCGCCTATGTAAATCAACGTCTGGATACCGTAATGAAGACGGCGCCCGACTAAACTTGAAACTAGAGAAAATAATATCGGACGGCCGGAGATCGAGAGTCCCTGAGCGGCTATAGGGACGAGTCCGTTGGGACCGAAGTATACCGTCCCCCAGCCCGAGAGAGTTGGTCTTCGTCGAGATGATTTCTAATCTGATTGGTCGAAACTTATTGACGTAACCCAGACAGACCTGACTTGAAATAAACTTCGCCTGGACACCTGACTTATATACAACAATTAATAAGCGGCTGGTTTATTCATCAACACACTCAACCAATACACCAGTAGAGGGCGCTATTGACGGGGAGACTGAGTGATTATGGGTGCAGACCACTAATTCAAGTCAGTGAGAATTTCTGACCAGCTC